TCTGAAAAATCTCTCCCAATAACTTGAAGCAATTTTGATCCAATAAATTCTCCCGGTCACTGATGGAACTCATTGTGTTTAAGGGCGTGTTCGATAGAGATTAAAATTGAAAAATTAATCGTTATTGTTGACTTTTATTAGACGAGTGAGACCCAATAACGATTATATTTTCATTTTTAATTCAATTTTGAACTATAACAAACAAGCTTTGAATAACAATGCAAGTGAAAGATTCTTCTTCACTATCATCGGAATGCCAAGGGAGGGATTAACATCGGAATGCAGGCTTACTCAGGCAGTCACCGGCCCATCACATCATTCGTCCCTCAGTCTATTAGACACAGACTGAAAGGCTAATAGCTTTTGCACAATTTCAGTAAAAGTAGGTCATTATTACTCTTTTCTCAACAATATACTTTTCTAAAAACTTCATGAAAATAATCGCGTTCGCGAAAATGTGTACCCAATTACTTGAGGTTCTTATTGATCCATGCACTACCTATAGAACGTGCACACATGGAGTTAGTCAGTTAGCTCTACAAAGCATAAATCTAATCAAGAAATGTCTCCACTCATAGGATTATTTGTAAAAATGTCCAAAATTTGTTAGATCAAATATTCTTGTTAACAATTTATAATTCCACGCTAAAGATAAAAATGTGTATACAATTAAAATTTTGTTGATCAATATAATTTGACACATAACATACCCTACTTATTTCAAGAAAAATGCCGGATGTACCGAATGGTGTACCCCCCTCACAATGTGTGCGGGGCCCGTGTGTGTTTAAAAATGGAGGTTCGTGGTCTCCACCTCCTAATGTGAGTGGAGTGTAAAAGATTATGCAAAAAAATTATGTACATATAGCATCACCATTATTTCAAAAGTATATATGTGGTGACAGAACCTACTCATGATGTGAATACTGTCGACTATGTGGATAACAATGGTTATGATAGTTAGTGGATTATGGATTCAGGGTGCACTTTCCATATGACCTCTAGAAGACCTTGGTTAGAGAACTTTAAGGATCTTGATGGTGGAGAGGTGGTTATGGGTAACAATGTAGCCTGTAGCATTAAAGGAATTGGTAGTGTGACTTTGAAGTTTG